TTAAAGGGTTAAAATGACATTTTATCTGTTCAGGTTCAAAGTTGAGGTTCATAGGTTTATCTGAGTGAAAGATGTTGGCCAGAAATCAAATGTGAATTTAATATTTTGAGTTTTTATTGTCTTATAAATGTTTTTATTGTGCTTTGTGTGAACTTTCAGAGTGAATCCTCTCTGTTGTAATTTCTGAATGACTCTCATGCAAATCTGTTTTTTCCTTTTCATGTCATCTCTCTCACTCTCTCTCTCTCGATTTTTTCCTCCATTTTCCCCCTCGCAGCTCCCTCGGGCCATTCCATGGGAAAAGAAACTTCCTGCAGGCCCCTGGGAGAAATCCAGCATTTTAGGAAAAAACACGTCATTGCTTTTGAGCTGGCACCCAAAGAAACTCATCCCTTCTTCCTCTTGTTTCCATCCCAGCTTTCCCCCCCACCCCCCCCCCCGTGCGTCCTTTTACTTGTTGCACAGCGCGGCGGTGTTTACCTTCCATCCCTTGCACCTCTAACTCTCCCAGAGAAAGCGGGAGAGCGAGCGGGAGAAAGGGAGAGGGAACTCTCAGTTGTCGCGTCCTGGGTTTTCCGTGCAACGAGCGCAGCGGCGCCCGCCGCGAGAACACCCCATGGAGGAACCTGAAGCCGTGCACAATTAATGGACAGCTCGGGCGAGGAATAAGCTGGTAACGTAGTGAAACGCTGCGGCGTGACATTGGCAAGCTCCAATTTCTGCCCCATCAACAAAAAAAAAAAAAAAAACAACCACCCCAACACACAAGAGTGTGTGGATGAAGGATGGGTAGACGGAGGAGAGCGAACCCCTGAGCCACACGTATCTCATTTAGAGACAAATATGAATGAAATCGCAATGTTTACTTGCATTAAAACCTCCTTTCCAAAACGCCTTTTGCGCCCTTAAGCTGTCTGCGCTCAACGTGGCCATGCTCATATGTCAAACCATCACCAACACATTTCACCATAGAACAACAACTCCCCATGGTAACCTTCGAGCCCGTGCACACGCGGAACAACAGTTCATGTACGCAGCGCCCTCTCCTGTCTCCAGATCCCTCCCACTGCGCTCTCACCAGCTCATGATTCCTGGCATGTGGTTCTGGGTCGCTGATCAGACTCATCACGAGCATACTGTGCGTGGCGTTGTGTGCACTTTATTCCCCCTTATTTTTTTAGTGAGAAGAGCGTGCACACACACACCTCCCAGCTCGGGAGGGCAAACCCTGTTTAAGACGCAGGCGACAATTGTGAACCCAGCCAGAGCCGCAGAGCCAGACTACAGCGGCGGCGCTGGACGGGAAAGGTGAGCGTGTGGTTGGAGGGGCGACCACAAAAATCCGCCAAGAGAACCAAGCTCCACCCGCAGACGTTGACGCCGAACCACGACCGAGGGGGACGAAAGGGGCACGCGGAGAGCGCTCAGCGCTGGTTTTCCAAAATACCGGCCCGCCAAAGGGGACGGGGGTCAGAGAGGATGAGGCGTTGCGGGAAGCGCGCCCCTCGGGGGCGGAAAGATGGACAGTCGTGGCCGAGAGCAACCTGGATAGACCTGTGGGCACTGCCCCGGCGTCCAGCCCAGGAATGTGCTACGACCCGGAGAGAGTCGAAGACCAGGCGATCTGAGCGAAGCGTCCCGTCATCAACATCGTCCCCGGGCCACGGGCGCCTCAATCGAGACCAAGCTGAAAAGACCTCGCCCCCAGTTCCCCGCCACGCCTGCCTGGGGACCCGCGCAAGAGATGCGCATTCTCCGACCGCCACAGAGGAACGAGTACTTTCTTCGACAGAACAGACCCCAGCTTCGATGCCATCTCCTCCCTACTACTCAACCCCAGTCCCGGGGCGGTCCGAACCCCTCAAAGTGCGCGCCAGTGCGACATTCATGGAGAGATTCAACATTCTACGAACCTGGGGGAGGAGGTTAGATAGACGACTTTTTAAGGAGGATGAGGGCGGGTCAATTAGCGAGGAACGAGCGCCCCGCCTGCCTGACAAGAGTTCCAGCGCAGGTTGGCTCCTGTCTCGCAGTAACCGGAGATTTCCGGACCCGCCCAGGGATCGCGATCCGTGTCCCGTGCTCCGTCTTCATCCTCATCCCCATTTGACTTCCTGCCCTGGAGAGCTCTAACCGGTAGTTCCGGGAGAGGCCCGGACGGTTTGACGGAGCCCAGTCTGGGGTGAACGGAACCCGCCGCGCGCCAAAGAAGCCCAACCCGCTTCACGACCCGTTCCTGTCATCGCTGGAGAGCCCTCTGCATCATATGGTTTTCTCCTTCCCGAGCTGCTGGTCCGGTTCCTCAAGCCTGCCGAGCAAAACCCGCCCCTCCTTCAAGAACATCATGACCACCAATCCCGACATCGTGGCCATTCCCATGCCGCTACTTCATCACGCCTGGGCTCGAAGGCTCGCGCGGAGCACCAGGCCCCACACCGGCAGAGCAGCATGTCGCTGGCCATCCCCTCAGGAAAAATCCGCCTGGTCCGCAGTCTGCCGGATCTCAAAGCCTCCAGGCACCCAGAGGGGCTCCCAAGATCCTGGGAAGACCCTGCAAGCCCAGCATGAGGGCTGGACTCGCTCATCTTCTTCTCTTTCCCATCGGGCGTCATCCCCTCTCTCCAGCGCGGTGTACTTTCGCGAACGCACCGACCCCGGAGTCGGGCTTCAGCAGCATCCGACGCTCGGTGGCGGTGGTACCCATGACGACGGGGGCTACGGGGACATGTGTCCGGTCACCAATCGGCCGGAGATCGTGGTTCGTTGTGCGCCATCGCCGTGTGCTCACCATCGCGCCCCCGGTGCCGTCATCGCCGTCCTCAACCTTCAACTACTTCTACCCACGGCGAGACGGAGCACCGAGGAGCCCAGTTCCAGTAAACACCGCACCGTGACTGCGGCAGCAGCCAAGTCCAGTTCGTGAGTTCCAAGAAGAAAGGCGACAAGCAAACCCGTCCCTCTGTCCAAGTCCGAGTACCTGCGACAGCGAAGACGTGGACTCCATCAAGTACACCAAACGGCAGCCCGCAAAAAGCCTACAGCCGGGAACTCAAACTACGTCTGATTCCCAAATAAACGCAGCAGTGCGCCGCGCTGAGGAACCTTTGAGGTGCCATCCCACCCCAAACACCCCGCGCTCCGTTTGAGTTCAGACCCCCACGAGCCGGCCTTAATCTCTGCCATCACAGGAAATTCATTAAAGCGGAGATGAATAAAGAGAGTCGCTTAAATCAAACTGCTTCCATTACGCGCGTCGGGGCGGACCAGCCAACCTCAGAATCGCCACGCCCTGTATCCGGTTGTAGCAGTTTTATGTTCTTAGTAATCTTAATTACCACAAATAATGCAGTTTGAACGTTTACATTTTGCTTTCTGTTCCACCAGATAGCAGAGACACAGCCAACCAGGACCAATGCTACACGTTAGAATTTACAGAGTGATCGCAGGCAGGGCCCAACATGGTTGGCAACACACACACACAACACAAGGAGGCACATGGTGGCACACACACACACACACACACACACACACACACACACCTGTTTATTTTCCATTCAGGCTGGTTGGAGCTCAGTGCTGGATCAGATCATGTGCAGCAGGCTGGAAGAATCAATTATCCTAAAATTAAACGACAGTGATTCCAACCTCTGTTCTATAAACAGCCGCCTGTAAGACAACGATCAGGGCTCAGAGTTCTGGGTTCCACCTGCAGATGTAAAATAAAAAAGGCTCCAGGAGGTTAAACCCTCAGCAGCCTGCCTGGAAAGATATTATGAAATCAGGTGCAGTTTTTTTTTCTTCCCCAAACCGAGAGCGCCACCTTGTGGATGAACCGCGGCGCTGCGTCTCCTCGGCGGATGCAGTTTCTATAGCAACCTTCCAGACTTTTCTGCATTGTCTGCCACAGGAAGGGAAGGATGCTGCTGAAGCTAAAGAGACGAGGCATCAGCGAGGCCAGAAAACCACCATGTTGTGGAAGCCTCCATGTTGTTTGAATCTGACACATCGATTCAACCAACAACAGGACAAATGAGCCAATGTGACGTATTTACAGCCGCATGTTTGACCCGCTGTCCACACACCTCTGAGAGGATCCAAACTGAGCTGCAACCAACCTTTACTCAGATTATTTCATATTTTAGGATTAAAATGAGGTTTAAATGACAACACGTCCTTCACAAGTTCCCAGAGCCCAAACTGAGGTTGTGAAATTGTTTATTTTTTTAGGCAGAAAACCACAAAAGAGATTCAATATAATAGTTTATAATAGAAAGATATAATATTTTGGATGTTTTAGAGCTCGACTGACACTGATGTCTGAGGCTGATTTATAGTAGAAGGGAAAAAAGCCAAAAATATCCCTCCTGATATTATGTATTATGTCCTAAAACAGGATATTTGAGCATTAACAAGCAAAACTGACAGTAACAACAAACCTGGAATATATTATATAAACAAAACACAATGTGTATATAAATGATCAATATGTAAAAAAATATGTAAAAATTTGGCCAAAAACACTTTTTTCTGCCACTTTTTGTTGCATATCAGCCATGTATGGAAGCACAAAAAGGCCAAAATTGGAAAATGGCATTAAAATTGAATTCAATTTCACAAAAAAATAGAAATATTGAAATTTAAAAACTATTTTGAGTTGTCAAATAAGTTTGTGTTTTTTAGGTTTCACAGATTCAGATAGAAAATGTAATCCATTGAAAACTCCAACAGATACTAGATGAGATTCAGAACTCAACCTTTTAACCAAAATGGAAAAAGTCACATGATCCAAGAAAGAAAAGTTTAGAAGCGACTGAAAACCCTGAAACACTTTAATTTTAAATTTTAAATAAAAATTTCAAACCACATAAACTCAGATATGTTTTCAAAATAAAATATGGTGGTTTTTAAATAAAGAAATTAGATATTCAGTTACTTGTATAATTAAAATAATTTTTGCACTTTTTTTGCTTCCATATAAATGTTATTTCTGTGATATCAGCTCACAGTAAAATAATAATAATAATAATAATAATAATAATCAGCCTGTTGATGTATCAGTCGAGTTCTGATGTTTTAACTTGAAAAACTACTTAAAAATGCAACATTTTCCAAGAATGTCACCTGATTATTCTCATTCGATCAATATTTTAGTACTCCCTGATATTTGGAAACAAACTGATCAGTCCTTGTCAGACGAATATAACAAACAGGTCACCTGCTGTATTTTAAGGTTTCCATAATTAGCATTTAGCCATTATAGCACCTTACTCATCTGGACTCCAGGGACGACTCTTTCCACCAAACCTAATGGAAAAAACGGGGAATTTAACAGACTGAGGGAATAAAAACGATCCCAGCAGACGTTCTCGCAGTGAAGTTCACCGTGCTGTTGGTTGGATTATCAGTTGATTGATCGATGGATGGAGGCCTGATGGAGTTTAACTGCTGAATCATCAACACAGACGGACGGACGGACGGACGGATGGACGACTCTTCAACTCAGACGACCAATAACAGCGGAGGGCCGGTCGCACAGAGAGGTGAGTTAAACAAGTTTATTCATTGTATTAATATGTTGTTTCTGCAGGTTTCTTTAAATCAAACTGATTAAAACCGCTAAAAACACTGAATAAAGCAGTTCCACCTTAAAAATCACTGCTTCTCCCACGCTGTTGGACAGCGGAGGGGCTGCCGAGCCGACTGCTGCTAACGTTAGCTCAGCCTTGTTTCTGCTTGATAACTTAAGATCCAGAACGTCCGAGGTGACTAAAATACTTATCTAATACAAATATGGAGGTTAAAGGTCTGGAATGAACTATGTTTCTTGCTCTGAATTGGTTATTTTCGTTTAAAGACCCAGTGGAATCCTTTCTCAATCAGAGAACCTGAGTTCACAGATTACAGTCT